TCCCGTTCAGTGGGCTTCTGTTTTGGCGAGCTGATGAGTGCTTGTGCACGTTGCAAGGCGTTGGGGAATCTTCAGCTGCATTTGTAGCCTGCCAGCCATCAGTAAGTTACACAGAGTCATCGATACGCATTTGGTTGTATACATTGCAAAGCTTTAGGGAATCTTCAGTTGTATTTTAGCTTGCAGGCAGATTATGCAGTCAGAAAATCATTTACGGTACTGAATTACTGTGTGGCAAAGTAATTAGATGATTTTTCTGTTCCTGAACTGCTTTGGTGTTTTAACAGTTTCAGGGTTTGAGTTTTGCAATGCGCTCGGTTCCTGAAAGGCAATATCCTTCAACAGCGTGTTGGCAGCGATGGTATCTCTTCTTGTGGGCAGACCTCTGCCTTCTAAGGGTATTTCTAGTTTTCTGCCTTTGTACAGTGTCATAGAATCATGTGTCATTACCAAATAACTTCAATTTGCTTTTAGTCATTTCTTATTTTTTAGTATTGCCTGTGAACTCTTGTTCGGGACATTGTTGTGTTAGGAAGGAAAGAAGCAAACGATGCTAAGAAAGTTCCTGTCCTAGATGTCCTATGGACCAGGGCACAAATGGTAAGGGGCAGGTGAATGGCATCAGACAGAATCTAAATGAGTAACTAACAAAGAAATTTTTCTGTTCTTCACAGCAAAAATAGGTATGATCTTAAACATGCAAGAAACATCAAAATTTTAACTCTGAAACAGTTATTTTAGTCATTGTTGAAGGCTCAGTCTCAACGCAGTCTCTCAAATTTAAGATAAGAGGCCAAATTCAAATCTTGAAGTAATACTGAAACACTTTCTAATTAGCAGACTTATTAAAGAGGAGGTTTCCTGAGTCAGACCAAACATCTAGCCAGTCCAGCGTCTTATCTTCAGTAGAAATACAGTGACAGCAGCTGTAGAACCACACTGACTATAAAAGATCTGTACAAGTTGGTCTTCCCCTTAATGTACCTTTCACTTCTGGTAAACTGAGGTTTCCTTCACCAAAGCCTTGATGAAGATCAGCAGTTTTATCAATCGCTGACAGATCTCTGCTCCGTGAGTTCGATCCGTCTTTTTTTCCATTCATTTCTCTCCATGCCATCAGGTGGCAGACTGAGATCCACAGCCTTGTTGGCTGGCAGAGGGAGTTGTGCTTGTCCTTGAGCTTGCTTTCTGCCTCCACTGACCGTACACTGTTGCCTTCAGTTCAGAGAAGATTAGGTATGGCATTACCAAAAAGACCAAAAGTAGGTTTTGTCCTACCAACACCAGAAGTTTGGCACCGCATTGCTGTCCTTGTGCGACCGACAGTGCCCTTTCTCACTGCCTTAGCTTGCTTTTGTCAGACATGGAATCGACTCGGCGTGCAAATCTACCCATCGAGTCACTGCGGGTTGCAGAACTGACTTTTGCTTGGGGTTTCAATACAGTCTGCATCCCAGATGTTGTGAGAACAAAATATTTTTCTACCTTGCATCACTATGGGACTATTAGATAGAAGAAAACTGTGTTATCTCTAGTGGGTAAGTAAGAAAAAGGCCATTTTCCCCATCCTAGAGCTGGTTTGTTCTGCAGGGACAAAGGCAAATTCAGATGTTCTTACAGGGGCTACTTCAGGTTCTTTTGTCACCAAAGGCACTTTGCCAGCTGGTAAATTGTAACACAAAAAATTGGGAAGTCCGCTGCCCACTTTTCTCATCTGGCCAATTCCGGTACAGAAGTTACTGGAACTTCCCAATCATTCGTTCATTCTTTCAGTCTGAAGAATGTGTCATGTATGAAGCTCCTGAAACTTGTATAGCTGGTGGAGCTATGCTTTTTTCCTTGTCGTCTTTTAATTTTGCATCACATGAGGACTTTTTAAGAACTAGTCAGAGATGATAGAGATGATAAGCATTTCACAAGGTCTTGTTGCTGCTGTCTGTGCCAAAATGATGGAAGAAGATCAAGACGAATGTCTCATGCTTGGGAAGAAATGTACCAAATGCAAAACATAGTTCTCCTCTATCTGTGCAATAAGTTGCTAACACATGGTGTGAGTCTATTATTTTACATCATTTTCTTAAAAGATGAGAGGCTTGTCCAATATTGGTGATTTGTTTAACACAGAAAAGCAGTTTAATATTTAAAAATAAATTAACTAATTGATATGGGCATAATTTGACAATGTTTTCAATTCTTAAAATTTTTGCTTCCCATTTGCTCCCTCAATCAGGAGGCTCCCTCAAGTTCATTTCTTAAACTAAGGTTGACTTCTTACGCCTCAAGTTTTATTTGGGTGAGAGCAACTTTTCTGTGGGTATAGATGTTTCTGAATTCACGTGCAGGCATCATTTACCCTTGGGCTCTTTGATATGTAAAAATTGCAGCTACACAAACTGTCTTCTTGGCTTAGAAAGTGTATGCAAAACTGGAACAGTGAATAAATGGTCTGCTGCTCCTTTAAGGTTTGTGATTGCAATGCTTCCTAACACCAACATTTTTCTTTCCCCCAACAACTATAGTCTAGATTGAGTAGATTTTGTACAAGCGAAACCCTCATTTCCAGCACTAGAGCAATGATTTTGAAGACCTCTTAGTTTTAAGGACATACTGGCCACAGGAACCTTTTCTACTTACTCCTTTTCTCCCCTTCACTGGTGAGCTAATTTAAGATATTTTTCCCTCTTTTCTCATGTGCTAAAAATAGAGGTCAATTCAGTTGTCCCTTTGCTGAAGGTTATGCAGTGAGGCTTTTCTTTATTTGAATATGGCCAGCCATAGATGACAAGTGCCTTTTTTTCACTGAAGAATGTGAATTGTGCATATTGCTCTGCAAACTATTTCTGGTTTGGTTTTTTTTTTGTTTTTTTAAAAATCCATGGGCTATTGCATCCCATTGAACTTGCATGTACCAAGATGCCCATCTCAGTTTGACGCACATCTAGAAGTGGTTTAAGTGATGCCAATTGTCAAAACTCGCTTTCTCACTTTGTTTTTTAAGAGACTCTTAAGACCTCTCTGTTCTTCCCAACTTGCATAGTTCAGAGGTTGTTTTCTGAGCGTTTCTGAAGGAAAGAAAAGTAATCCTGGGAGTCAACACTGTAGATATTGCAGATTTGTGCTTTGTTCTGGTAGTAATAGCCCTTTGATACCTCCTTGGTGTCTTGTTTGCCTTGGTTATCAGCTACTAATGACCTTTGATGGCAAAGAATAACGGAGGACAGCGAAGGGCTACCTTACTGAGCTTGCTTCTCTCCCCATTTGCTGTGCAAGGAACCTGAGTGACAATTTTTGACCAACTTCAGAAAACTGGACTAAATATCACACACACACCCCACCACACAGGCTCTCAGATGTGTGTTCTGGTGGCTCGGAAACATCGCGGTGCCTGCAAGCACAGGCCCTGCCGCCCCTGGAGAGCCCATGCCACCGGGCTGGGCTGCCACTTGTGGCTCCCCTGCAACTGCCCCACTGCAATGGGGATGGGACACAAACCTTCTGAAGCACACTTGAGTCACAAATACATATCATGGCAGACTTTTAATCTTCTATCATTCTGCCACCCTAGTGCTAATGCTGGCTGTTCGCTGCCTAGTCTGATTCCACTGATCTGCATGCATGTTTCCGTACAAATCCTATGCTAGTCCAGAGGTTAATTTTCTTTCTGTGTCTGCTTAATCAGGGCTGTTACAGAATTTTTCTTTATGCCTTTGAAGGTTGCCTTTTTTTTGGTCTTTCATCTACACTGGACACGTTCCTCATCTTTTCACAGTTTGACCTTTCTGCTATTGACTTTCCTCAAGTCTGGGATAGGTTGCTTGAAAGTCAAATCCAAACATAGTCCTGCTCGTTATAAAAAGGCTAGGCATGCTAAAGCAAGATTCCACTGCTGCTTGAGATCACATTTACTATATATATCAAATGCTGTAGCACTGCAATGGTCTACAGCCCACACAGGAGGATGCTTCGATCACTCTTAGCACGATCTTGGATTGTATTGGTAGAGTTGTTTCTAGACTGTCTGGTACCCATGATGTGATGTTTGAACTGAGTGCTGCTGTCACTTTTTCTTGAAATAGCCTAAGTCCAGCCTCAAACGTGTGCTTCTGTTGTTATTTAGCTAATTATTCTGGGCCCGTTTGCCCAACTACCTTTGCACAAGTGAGGGTGAATTCTCATAATTCCTGGTGCAAGTAAACTCTAACCAACAGTCATCAGAGGTGGGCAAGTAAGGAGCGATACTCTGGAACCAAGGAAATAATATTTCTGATATGTTTTAGGTCGAGGACTTTGCATGTAATTAGTGCCAAAAGGCTTGACTAAATATGCTTAATGCTTACACTGATCTTAGCCCAGGAAGCTAAGCTGCTTCCCGTCAGATGCTTGTGTGTGTAAAAGTGCATGGTGCAAGTGGGAGTAAAAGCATAAGGTCGGATGCAGTTGACTCTGACCCTCCATTCCCTTCATAGTCAGTGGAGCTGCATCCATTCTGTTTTTCACTTAATAAATAACCACATTATGAATTATATTTGCTCCTAGTGCTGCAGTGTTTGGAGGCCTAAGTTGTGCCTATTCCCTCAGCAGGCTAGGCTCTCTGGAAACACAGAAAAGTGTTCTTCTAATACAGAGCATGAAGTCTGGTTGCCCCTCGGTGCAGGTGCGAGCCGGATCTCTGGCCGGGGCCGTGCCAACATGCTTGGTTTGTGTTGATTTAACTCAGACCCCCCGCCACCCCTGTGCTGCTGCTGTTCGTTCTCCTCTCTGGTGACCCGGCTCAGCGGTGCTCCCTGGAGCGGGGACGAGAACTGGCTGAGGAGAACCAGGAGGGCAGTTCCAGGTGAACGAGCCTCTTGCAGTTTTCTCAGAAGCATTGCATGCGTCACTCACCCAATTTTGTGGCCAGTGTACCAGCCCATAAGTGAACCCATCCGCGCAATAGTTGCTATAAAAAGGCAGGTGAAGGCTACGTGGGGCGTGCGGGGCTGCCTCACTGACAGAAGGGGATGGCGGTCTCCCATCGCAAGATGGGCTCCGTCCCATTTTGCACCCTTCTTTGCTGCTTTATTAGCATGGCAGCAGCCAATATATTCGGTAAGTACGCTTGTTTTTTTTACTTTGCCTGTGTCCAGTAGCGACTGCGCTCCTCTGATCTTTGTGCTGCTCTGTGTGTTATTCCAATGAGGTAGATGATGGTCTTGAGTCTTGCACACTGCAAACTTCGCTAGTTACTGTGTGCTGTGCAAACTGAATTTGGACTCTAGGTTAAATACTCAGCTATAAGGATCTTAAAATGGTCAGGGGGATCTGAGTTCAGATCTGGATCCAGATTTGAGTTCAGTTCTGGATTTTGGGTCAAAAAAAAAAAATCTGGAAGAACAGTCTGGGCTAGAGAAGGAGCTTCGGTAAGAAAACAAGGTGCTGCAGGGGTGTGAAGGTCCAAAGATTATATCTTCTACTTGTGTGTGCCATCTTCTAATTTAGGCTTGAACCTTAAGATACTGGATGATCTTTGGTCTGAGTTTGATAGTCCTGCTCAACAAGCAATCTGAATCACTCAATTAATCTCCTAACCTAGCAGTCTTAGTAGACCCTTTAGCACTGGACACAGGGTTCTCCACACATCCCAGAGCAACTGGCTCAGAGTCATGTTTGAGATGAAAATGGTGAGGTTTGCTAACTTGTGGATGTCTATCGGTGAGCTCACCTAAAATCCTTTTACAGTCTCATGAAAACTTTCACATGGGTTTAAGGGCACACAGTAAAAACTCACAGAAACAGAAGTGATTGAGAGATCTTAGGTGCGCAAAAACCATCTGTGGTTAAAGAAGTCCCTGAGCTGCAAATTACCGGAGGCTGAGAAGTATTCAGAATACTTACAATGTATTTGCACTACTGAGTGTGGTGACACTCAAGACCAAATACTGGGTTAAGTGAACCTTTGGTCTAAAACACTGTAGCTGTGGTTCTGTTTGTTTGCTGTATTTTTATAGAACTAGTCAACGGATTTAAGAGCATGACATTCATCAAATCTCGAGGATGGGGCAAGTGTCAGATCAACTAATCTCTTCTGTAAAATAGAACCTACTGAATTTCATCGTTCTAAACCAGCATCCAAATGTCATTATGAATGCATTAAGAACTGAAGGGTTGACTGTTTTCTTGCTAGGTGGCTTCGATAGTTGGTCACTTGCCCTGGTAAAAATTGAGAAGTGATCCTAATATGAATTAGTCTGATGGTAACTGCTACATAATGGTTCTTTCTGGGTCTTTCACAAGATTAAGAAATACCTCTCCTTTTGGTGGAATAGTGAAGGACTGGACTTCAATAAAGAATAAATACTCAGAAACATTAGTAGTGATGTGTGTGGTCATGGCAAAGGGATGTTTTGTGGTGATAGCCACAACTAACTCTGAGTACGTAGACTGCCTCAGGTACCAGAAAATGAGAGGTATAGCAGCACAGACCAGAGCTGAAGCTAATTAAATGCAGGCCTGGGAAAGGGGTTCATGAACATCTCCATCATGTGCTATCCTGCAGCTGGCAGCCCCGTGAGTTTGTTCAGTGCTTCCCTGTGCTGTCCCATTCAGGAATGCATGCAAGGAGCAATGGGGAAACAACTGGGGAGGACCCATGAACCTGGGGCTTTCACCATGCAGCATTGGCACTAACAAGGTTGTGATAAGAACAAGTTTGTGGTGAAATCACCCTTATGTGTTTACCTTCTTGCTGCTTTCAGAGTACCAGACAGATTCCCAACCATTACGCCCATGCGAACTTCAGAGGGAAAAAGCTTTTTCAGGAGGAGAAACCTACGTTCCTCAGTGCTCAGAAGATGGCCAGTTCAGGTAACTCATCCCTGCTGTTACTCTGCTGTTATGCGACATGAGCTTCCCTTACTAGTGAAGGCTTTAGCTTCAGCTTTGAAGAGCCTCTGTATCGGTGGACTGGGGGGTGAGGGGTGCAGGAGACCGAAGGGACTTTATTTAGCCGTGTTGCAAATCCAGCCTCTCCTAAATGAATTCCATGTTGCTAGAAATAATCTCTGGGTTAAGAGGTCAATCTAATATTAATGGGCTAACCTTGGCCGCATTATTTGCATGTTAAATACTTGGTGCAGGTTGTTGTGTAGTGCAACTTCTGTCTTCCTACGCATGGTCTGTGATCAGTGTGCCAGCTGGCACAGCTGAGCCAAGTTGACTTGGAGAAGTTATCCACCCTGCTGTAAGTGGCACAGCTGGGTTTCCTTCTGAAGGCAGTAAAGGAACTAAATCACATGGAGAACAGTGGTTTAGAGAGCAGCATGTTGCTTGAAGGTGCAAGAAGTTAATGAGTTAAAGCTGAGGCTGAGGGGGAGTGAAAATTGTAATGTTCTCTACTATTGTCCTACTGCTGTTGCCTAGAGTGGGGGACCTACACCATGCTAGTTTTGACTTAAAAATTGTCTCAAAATGTATGGTAATTCTCAAATACTAAGAGTCAGGATTCTGTCCAACCTGCTTGCTTCTTGAACGACTTCAAGTCACTTGTCTGCAATTCCTGAAGACTTCAGAGAATTACTAGAATTAAGAACTCCCATCAGATACACTTAGAGACACCAGACACATAGCCCTTTCTGATTCCATTATTTGTGGTGTTAAAGTACTTGAACTTGTTTGTCTTGGTTTATGTCCCATGCCAGCTGAGGACTCTGTCACTAACAAAATAAAATATGTTACTTGTGA